GCCACTAATTTTGTATCACTTGTTGCTCCCCTGTCCCTGGGTTGGTCAACACCTTCTCCTTTGCCCCGCCTCCCCTTCTCCTATGGCCCCGCAAAAGCATCAGTCCCATTGTTTTCTCCTCTGGACTGTTCATCCAGCCTATCTTATCTAGATAGATCTGCAGAGATAATAATATGCACCCAAAAAACAAGGCATGACTCACTTTCACTCTCTCACCGTCTCATTCACTTACTCTCTCACTCACTCACTCATTCTCACTTCCTGACTCTCTCACTGTCTCATTCACTCACTCACTTCCTCACTCACTCACTGCCTCATTCACTCACTGTCTAACTCTCACTCACTCACTGTCTCACTGTCTCATTCACTCCCTGCCTCACTCTCTCTCTGCCTCACTCACTCACTGTCTCACTCCCTCACTGTCTCACTCCCTCACTCAGTGACTCATTCTCACTCACTGGCTCACTCTCACTGCCTCACTCTCTCACTGTCTCATTCACTGACTCTATCTCATTCACTCACTCACTCATTCACTCACTGCCTCACTCTCACTCTCACACTGTCTCATTCCCTCACTGTCTCACTCCCACTGTGTCTTTCTCTCACTGCCTCTCACTGTCACTCACTGTCACTCACTCACTCAGACTCTCTCACTCACTCGCTCACTCTCACTCTCTCATTCTCCCCCTGCCTCACTCAATCACTGTGTCACTCTCTCACTATCTCATTCACTGACTCTCACTGTTTCACTCACGCACTCACTCACTCACTGACACTCACTCACTGCCTCATTCTCTTACAGCCTCACTCTCTCAATGTCTAATTCACTGTTTCACTCACGCACTCACTGACTCACTCTCACTCACTCACTGACACTCACTCACTGCCTCATTCTCTTACAGCCTCACTCACTCACTGTCTCATTCACTGTTACTCTCTCACTGCCTCACTCACTCACTGCTTCACTCTCTGTCTCTCTCACTGCCTCACTAAGTGACTCACTCTCACTCACTCACTGCTTCACTCTCTGTCTCTCTCACTGCCTCACTAAGTGACTCACTCTAAAAAAAAAAAAGAAAGAAAAGAAAAAAACAAGGCATAGCAAGACAAAGTGACAGTAGAGAACACAACGATGACAACAAAAAAGAAAACCAATGAGCAAGAAAAGAATAAATTAATTACAAAAAAACAGAAAAAGAAAAATTTTAAAAAGAAAGAAAAATCTGTAAATAGATCAAGGTCTGATTTTTGA